CGTTTTGTTTATATCTGCTTGGGCCAGAACCGTTGAGCTCTGTAAAGCCGTATTTGACAGTTACAGTAATAGATTACCCCCTTACGCAGTGTTGCCAACTTAGCAATTTTGTTGCTAAATTTAGCAACTTTTCAGACTACCCTAGCAACTTTTTCTTCCAAAAGCACCTATAGCAACAAATTTAGCTATTTTTGTATTTTATTTGGCTACTTTTAGCAACTTTTGATAAGTGATTCAGACAATAAAAAGGCATACATTTTCAATCTAAATTTCACAAAAAGAGGAAAACAAAGTTGCCTAGCAGTACACACATCACATGAATTAAGTTATTGCTATTTGCAACTGTTCAATTTGATAATAATAATAATAGTTTAATAATTGTTCATTTATGATACACCTTGTTAGTAGCTTGTACCTAGGTTAAAAAAAACATAATAAAATCAATATCACATTTGTAATCATGCTTACTTTTGGAGAAAAAAAAACACTCTTCGTGTGATATTAACTATATGAAATGATATAAAGATTCTCTTTCTGCCCCATATCTTAAATTATGTGATAATTCTTAATGCATTTTAATAGACTGATTCATGCAGTGAAAGAACGAGCACTAAATGCGCACGCGCACTAGTCTAACCTGCTAGACTTCATCACCTAATGTATGCGTGCACTCTGTAGGTGTGTTTTGTGTTTGCTTTTCGCGATATACTCATAATATCAAATCGCAAATTGTTAAAACAACAATTACGATATTGTCGTAATAATTTTTATAGTAATAATTGATATTATAATAACCATTAGGGAACTAATATTTTACGGTTGCAAAAAATAACCTAAAAATAACCATTAGGGAACGTTCTGTATAAGTTAATTTGAGGTTATTTTAAAAACAACCACCCTGCAACGTTCTGGGAACGTTATTTTATGGTTGCAAAAAATAACCTAAAAATAAACATTAGGGAACATTCTATATAAGTTATTTTTAGGTTATTTAAAAATAACCACCATGCAACGTTCTAGGAACTTTATTTTATGGTTACAAAAAATTTAACCTAAAAAGAACATTTCCCTAACGTTAGTATTTGGTTCCCAAAAAATAACCAAACGGGAACCAAAAACTAACATTAGGGGAACGTTCTGTGTTTGCTGGGTCATAACTACTAAATGTTTTAGTTGATTAACAGAGAGAAAATGGCTATAAACCCAACATGACAGAAACCCACCGACAAGCAATCGTTATTTTCATCGTTAGGAGGAAAAAAAGGCATCAAGCATTTTTAAAGTGTGACTGCGTTTAGTTGTCTGACTCTGAAAGAGTTACCATCTAAGCACGTGCGATTAGCTTGTCTATAATTTCCGATAAAAACTCTGAACTCAAACAAACAAACACAAATGGTTAAGAAGTGGTTTTTCAAAGGGTTAAAGTGATAATTTGCTTGCCTACCTGTACTTTATTCTTTAGTGAGATGTAAATGCTTGGTGCGTGGTTTGGAGGTGTGTATAGAGTCATGAATATTAATTAAAACGTCAGCAAAGCATCGTGAATATTCATACACAGAAATGTTTGTAAATCTTGTTTCCTGAAATGAAACTAAGAATGAGGAAACTGAACTTTTGTAGACTTACAAGAGCTAAAAAAAAAAAATCGGAGGGTATTTAAAAATTAAAATGTGAACGAATTTGAATATTCTAAAGGGAAAAAACGAAATAGGCCTACAAACAATGGCCGTACACTTTGTGTATATTTATATAGGCCTATGTAAGGTAGAATATCATCGTTATTTATCGTTTTTTGAATCTTATGCGTTGTCTGTACATTTCACAGTAATAAGCACGTTTTTGCTAATTTAATGTGTTTTGCTGTGTGATCTCCTTCCCCTTCAAGGCTGAGGAAGTGATAAACTATCCAAAAGTATTGTGTCGTCTCTCTGAAGGCCAACGCGACCTTCTCAGCCTTTCTTCTTGGCTTAAGTACAATAATTTCCTTATTGTGTGTGTGTGTCTGTGTGTGTGTGTGTGTGTGTGTTCCTCATCTACATTTATGTTTTTACCTTAATCTCACATTGTAAACCCTTCTGAGCATTTCTTTTGTCTGTCTTAGAGGCTTGTACCACTTCCCTCTTTTCTATTCTTAAGACACAGTTGTTTTCAGTCTTGCTTACCCAGGCAAAAAATAATGGCAAGAAGAATATGTGACCCTGGACCACAAAACCAGTCATAGGTGTCAATTTTTCGGAATTGAATAAATAAGCTTTCCATTGATGTACGGTTTGTTAGGATAGGACAATATTTGGCCGAGATACAACTATTTGAAAATCTGGAATCTGAGGGTGCAAAAAAATAAAAATATTGAGAAAATCGCCTTTAAAATTGTCCAAATGAAGTTCTTAGTTTTGATATGTTTACGATAAGAAATTTACAAAATATCTTCATGGAACTTGATCTTTGCTTAATATTCTAATGATTTTTGGCATAAAAGAAAAATTTATAATTTTGACCCATACAATGTATTTTTGGTTATTGCTACAAATATACCCGTGCAACTTAAAGGGTTAGTTCACCCAAAAATGAAAATTAGCCCATAAATTACTCACCCTCAAGTCATCCTAGGTGTATATGACTTACTTCTTTCAGACAAAAAAAAGTTTCCTTACTTTAGCAAAGGAAAACCAGTCTCCTCTTGGCTTATATCGAAATCCTCTGACATTCTTCTTTACAAATCCTTGTTTTGTACTTCTAATTCGTGACCGTTGTTTTGTTTTGATCTCTCCCCTGCGCTTCCGCGTTCGTCACTTCTGACGAATGCGCAATTCGCATGCGCAAAGCCGAACTCATTCGTCATCAGCCCAGAACTGCTTCCGTATACAACAGTGAGCGCAAGCTAGATTAAATTGATTATTACGTTTTAAATATGGTTATTTTTCTTACAAAAACGCATCGATTCGCTACAGGAGGACTTTGTTCACCCCCCGGAGCCGTGTGAGA